AAGGTTCAGAGTTTAAGGTTTAGGGTGGTCCTCTTTAGGAACATGCGGTTTTCATGTCCCTTTTCGTAGAGTTTTTTCACAGTGTTTCTGAGAAAAGTCGAAATGGGAAGCCCTCAGAGCAGGTAATGTAGGGGCCTCAATAANNNNTAGAATAGGGTTTGGGGGGTCCTTTAAAGGGTTCCTTCAAAGGTTCTGTAAGGGCTACCATAAGTGACAATAAGGGTTTAGGGTTTAGGGGTCTCAATAATTAGAATAGGTTTTGGGCCACCGATCCCTCTCGTCTTCTCTTCGAGAACCTCTGGGAAGGACAACCTTAATGGTAGGAGGTGCTCCGGGTTCAGGGCTTGCCGGGCTTCGCCGTTGAATGCTCTAGGGTTTCCATGGTGGGGCCCAAAATAAGGCCTACCTTTTTCAGGAACTATATATAGAAGCCACAATAAGGAGCCCTAAACGGTAGGTCTTTTCGGCTAGAGGTCAGGCTAAAGAGATGTGTAGAGTTCATGGTTTATGGCCTTGCAGCATAAAGTTTAGGGTCTTAGGGCTCTAAGTTTCAGGGTTCGGGGTTTGGGGCTTCAGGGCTCGGGGGTTTAGGAGGCGTCGGCGGTCCAGTTCTTTCGAGTTCATCGTTTTCGGGTTTAGATAAGGCTTATGGCTTGGCTTATGGTTTCCAAAGAAACCGAATCGAAATCTTAGGGTTTAGGGTTTAGGGTTTAGGGTTTTGGGTTTTGGGTTTTGGGTTTAGGCATGGTTCAGTTTAGCATCGCGATTTCGGGTCCGGGGCCTGGGGTGCTCCTGGCTTGGTAAGCCCCACACTCGAAACCCTAAAACCGAAACCCGACACCCCAAACCGTAAACCCCAAACCCCAAACCCCAAATTCCAAACCCTAAACCCTAAACCCTAAACCCCAAACCCCAAACCCTAAACCCTAAACCCTAAACCCCTAACCCCAAACCCGAAACCTGCTCGCGGCCCGACCTAAGCCCTCGTCACTGAGGCGGCGGCTCCCGCGTCTTCGCGTTCGCGCGCTGGGAGAAGTCCGTGGAAGGCAGCATGCTGAGCAGGTAGGGTTTAGGGTTTTAGGGTTTTAGGGTTTAGGGCTTTTTTAGGGTTTTAGGGGTTTAGGGTTTTAGGGGTTTAGGGCTTTAGGGGCTTAGGGGTTTAGGGTTTTAGGGTTTTAGGGGTTTAAGGCTTTTAGGGTTGTAGGGCTTTAGGGCTTTAGGGCTTTAGGGGTTTAGGGCTTTTAGGGTTTAGGGCTTTTAGGGTTGTAGGGCTTTAGGGTTTTAGGGCTTTAGGGGCTTAGCGGTTTAGGGTTTAGGGTTTAGGTTTTCAGGGTTTAGGGTTTGG